AGGTGGAGAAGTTCAAGTACCCACGTCAGGGTCGTGCTTACTGGCGATAAAAAATCTGAGGAGGAGACCGACTGGCGGATTGAAGCAGCCAGTGGTTGTTGCGTGAACCAGTTCGAACAGTTGTGACGAAAGTAAAGTTAAGTGTGAAGATTACGCTGTCAGATTTCAAGTTGATCTTCATGTCCATACTTACCTGCGGTCATGAATCGTGGACCATCACTGAAAAACTTCGATCCGCCGGTACAACTGCTGAAATGGGCTTTCTTAGACGAGTCGCTGGCCTTACGCGTCTCGACATGGTCCGGAATAGTGACATTCGGAAGAGCCTTGGAATACAGCCTTTGCTTCTCCAGATTGAGAAGTCACAGCTGCGATGGCTTGGGCATGTGTTGCGAATGCTTTCAGAAAGAAAGGCTAAGCAGCTGTTTCTTGGGAAATCGACTGGCAGAAAACCCAGGGTACAGCCAAGATTAGCCTGGTGCAAATATATGGAAGTAGTCAGTTCCACACTCTAGTTGTCTTCTGCCGAAGCTGAGACTCTGGCACGTGATGGGGAAAGTTGGACACACTGTCTGCCTCCGCAACCCGAAAGCAGAAAGTAGTAGCGGTTATGGAAGATGAAAATGATGAAGATAAAGCGAGTGAAAGGAATCATGAAGGAAGGCATGCACTCTTAGTATCTCACATAGAATATTTTCTTCACGTTTTGACAATCATGCAAAATATAGGTTTACACAAGGAGTCATTCATAATCCATCGATGCAAAAATAAGAAAACGAACAACGGATAAAACCTCTGTGTGGAATGGATGAATCTATCGCTGAAAATCAACTTAACCGACAACATGAACGGAAAGCTCTTCTCAAAAATTTCAAACCAATCGCCACTTGCTCCAGAGGGCCGCACAACAATTCAAGGCTACCACCTTCTTGAAAAAGGGCGATGAGATGTGAACCACAACGTCTGCATCTGTATGTCACCCGTGTAACATCTTGCGTGCTGTTTATAAGAAATTTGGTTTTTCCCTGTAGTTATATAAACACCGTTTAACGCATAATAGGGGTTGGTTTGTTTGCAAGTGAATGCTTCGCGTTAGTCCACTTTAAAGAAAGAGCAAACAGCACCAGATTCTAGCTCATTTTATGGCTAATACCTTTTTGGAGGAGGTGGAGAAAAATTGTATACGAATTGAACAGCTTAATGGACTTAAATATCTTTTAAAAGAAACTATTCTGGAAGGGTTATTGAAATCTGATGCCAGAGAGCTGTAAAATGAGAAACTGTTTTATCTTAAAGATAAAAATTACAAGAATAAGCAAGAAGCCTGCGACATGACACTATCAGCAAAACATGACACAGTTCTCTTGGATGCGATTTTCCAAGTCGTAACACGGTATTCATCTTCATAGCAGCGATTCTAATAAGGACATAACGTTAGATGTGGCATAGGACGTAAAATGCCCAGCCTTCATGTGAGAAGCTCCCACAGTTATGAAGAACGAAACTGTCAAGAGTTCCAGTGATATATTCTTCAGCTCATGTCATCAATCGCCATGTGATTTTTATAGCAGGAGTGACAGTCGTGGATGACATAAGCTCCATCCACCTAAAGATGACATCTCTATTATGTAAAACCTGTAGCATCTTTGTTTAATTAATTAATCATTTCATTTAAAAATTAAGTTTTTAGATAAGTGAAGTTATATATAGACGAGGACAGACATAATTTCGCCCCAACAAAACTACAGCTGTAAAGGATCCAAACAGTCACTGCATTTTATTGCATTCACCTTGAAAGGCCGCATGATTGACCAAGCACTTTCAGCT